GTACTCTTTGTTGCTTGCTGAAATATGGTAACCCTAGCACAGGGGAACCGCTCCCTGCCCCAGATCACCTCCACTCTGCCTCCTCCGCTGAGCACACAGTCCCCGCTCTAAGTCTCCTCCAAACAGTGCCACAAGCCTGGGAGAGGAGGGGAATTAGAGCGGTGCCGGTGTGCTCTGTTTAAAGTTATGCAATGTCCCCTTATAATGTCATTTGGCAGCCGCCTGCTTTGTCCAGTGCTTGCAGGATTCTCTGGAAGAGCAGCTCCTCCTTGTGGGGATTAAAACTGGGGGCAGGGCAGCAGCCCCCCCATCAGCTCCCCTAAATTCCCTGTAAGATATGTGGCCCAGCAGCAGTTCAGGTGGCCCTCCCCCACTGCTGTGCTCCCTCTGCCATGGAGCTGCTCCTGGGAGCCTCCTGGTTGCTGGGGGAGGCAGGGAGAGGGGTGCTGATGTCAGGCTGGCCCCATGTTCCAGACTCCCTCTCCACAAAGCGAAGGATGGGGACAGGGCTCGGGGACAGAAAGGAGGGAGCTTGCTGGAAGCTGTTGTGTCCTGTGTGAATTGGCTGGTTGGCTTAAAAGGGCAACGTACTTAAAGGGGCAGTGCATGTCTGTCTCTCTCACTCATGCATCTCCCCCCTTCTCCCCCCCAGCACTTTGGAAAGTCAGCAGCTGTGCATGTGCTGTCAGGAGGAGGGAGCGGTGCGCTCCAGCTGGATGGCTTGAGCTCATCATGCTCAGTTTTTGCAGGGAAGTGTTTGCAGTCACTGCCCTGCATCTATTGCGTTTCCTCCCTCCTGCCTCAGTCCATGCTGCCTTGTAGAGTGTGAGGCCACATTAACAACAGTGTATTAACCCTTGAGGGCTCACCCCAGTGCTAGTTCATCATTTAGCAGCAAGGCATCCCTGGGAAATATCCCACCTTCTGACTCCACCACCTCAGCCAAGCTTCACACTTATCATTGCTGCGTACAATATTAAACTGTTGTTTAAAATTGTTTAAACTTTATACTGTATATGTATATAATGTCTCTTGTCTGGTGAAAACAGATTCCCTGGAGCCTAACACCCCCCTATTTACATTAATTCTTATGGGGAAATTGGATTCACTTAACATTTTTTCCACAAAGTCATTTTTCAGGAACAGAACTACAGTATTAAGCGAGGAGTTACTGTAACAGGGACAAAAATGGTGTAAAGGTAAAAGTAGGTAAATTAACCTAACCAAAACTCCATATTCCCCAAATGAGAAGTGGAAAAACTTTACCTTCAACTACACTACTGGGTGCCCAGAGACCCATCCCATAAGCAATTATGTAAGGAGGGAAATACATCTCTTCTCCCCCTCCCCCCCCGCCCAATACCTGTACAAACAGGCATTGCAAATAAAGACCCAGTCGTGTTCTGGAGTGTTTGAAGTGGGTAACAGCCAGAGAAGAGCCAAGATCCTGTGAATTCCCCACCCTCACAGTAGAGCTGTTCATGAGAACTCTGCAAAAGTAGGAAGAAACAATTTAAAAATGCATTGCACCTTTGTCTGCTGTTTGCTTTAATGTAGGTTTCCCCCCCGATGAAGCTTCACAAAAACTGAAACGTTTTCTTGCAGTGAAGCATGCAAGACTCTTTCCTCTGCCCCCCCCCTCCCCAAAGCAATTTTTTAACCATAATGGGGATGCAGGCATGTGTCTCCTGGAGGCAAAGTGGAATGTTTCGCTCATCACCCATAGTATCTTAACATCTCACAAGCATTAATGAATATATCCTCATGACTCCCCTGTGAGGCAGGGAAGATTGTATTCCATTGCACAGATGGGTAAACCAAGGCCCAGTTTGGGGGAAGTTCCATACCCCAGAAAACAGGATTAGAACCCAGGTCTTGGATTAAGTAAAACAGCTGGTACAAGGCAGAGATCAGACCCACCGAGAGAACCATACAGGACTACAGGAGGCTGCTGGAACCTTAACCATCCTTCCCCTCTGCAAGAATGACCAGGGCCTTGTTTATATGGGGAAATTTAACCAGCATAGCTGTTGCGGAATAGTTCATTATGCGGACACTTTATTGCACAGTAGCTGTACCAGTCAGCTTCTCCATGTAAAAAGGCCAGAGGTGTGGTGACCAGGAAATCTTGACTTGTCTTGCCACATCTGCCACTGATTGGCCTTAAGTATACTTTGCACTTTCCTGGAAATTTACTTACTCACTGAAGGAATGTAGATAAGATGAAATTGTGCATGACCTAAGAATAACAAGGGGATTAGTTGTTAGGCAAATTGCTTATACAGTTGATCCTCAGAGTGATGGACACGGTGGGAGTGGGTTGTTCGTAACTCTGAAATGGTCATAACTCCGAACAAAACGTTACAATTGTTCTTTCAAAAGTTTACAACTGAATATTGACTTAATGCAGCTTTGAATCTTAACTATGCAGAAGAAAAATGCTGCTGTCCCTTTTTTAGTAGTTTGTGTTTAACACAGCACTGTACTAGACTTGCTTTTTTAATCTCCACGGCTGCCTGACTGCATGCTTCTGGTTCCAAATGCGGGGTGTGGTTGACTGGTCAGTTTGTAACTCTCAAAACTCTGAGGTTCTACTGTAATTAGCTTTCTGGTTATTAGATTAAACTTGTTGTTCTTGAGGTTTGCTTCTGCGAGTTAAAACTGCAGATCCCATTTGAGCTCGCTGCAGCCACTATAAGAAATGTCTGCAAGGCCTGTAGATACAGGATTTAAAAAGGGAGAAAAAGCTGCAAGGCCCTGGAACACCTGGACAACGTGGAGGGTCCTCCCTTCTACTGTTAATAACTGGCCATTAATTGTCTGATTGTATGACAATACTAAGCAGGGATAAATAGCTCTGCTTGCTAGAGCATCTGTGAGGTATTTCCTTGGGTAGCACCGATCATCCCTCAGACAAATAAAGGCACTTTCAGCTGAAGTGTTGACTCTGCCCCTTATGAACAGACAGGGATAAAAATTTCCAACTCGCAGGACAAGGTCCTCAAGGGAGTTTTGGCTCCTAACTTCCATTGACAGTGTCTGAACCAGTCCAAAGGAGAGCCCAGGAGACCTGATGCCCAGTTGGCTCTGCTCTAACCACTAGACATCACTTCTCTCCCACAGCTGGGAACAGCACCTGGGAATCCTAACTCTCAGCTTCCCTGCTGTAACCCCCTCCCCTCCGAAAGTGTCTGTGGGGGAGGGGGGAGACAGGAAAAATGCTGTCTACAAATATGAAAATCCTATTTTCCCAAAAACCTGCACATAGAGCCCAGCTGCAGCACTGTGTGTAGCTGAACCAATGTTTTCAATTTGCATTTTTCTGTTAAAAATAACCTAATTTGTCTGTCACGGTGTGATGATTTTTTTTTTTTTTGTACTAGTGAGGCTAGACCAGTAACTCTACCTGGGCTCTGGGTAAGACGCAGGGTAGGAAAATCAAACTTGTCTTAAAAGACGCAGGAACTAAAATAACAGCTTAGTTGTTTAGGCAATGCTCTCTACTCCTACTGTTTTTTCCCACCTAGAATCACAGAAATGAAGGGCTGGAAGGGACCTCAAGAAAACATCAAGTCCCACCTCCTGTGTCCAGCTTTGCTGTGTCAAAGCTTTACTGAAACAGATCTAATCTTAGTGGAAGGATACGATGCATAACCTGTTCTCTCCTCTTTATCTGAGCTACTGGATCTAAACACCCTAGGGATTCCACAGGGCAGCAGTTGGGGTGGCAGCAGCTACCGAGCAGGCATGGGCGGGTGAAATGCCCAAGGCCGGCTGAGGGGGAGAAGGGATGATGACCAGGTGTTCAGAGAAGTGGGACTGAGCCTGGCTCCTTGGAAAGTCCCTGTCCACAGGGGCTGACCCTGTCCTTTCCGTTCTGAATCTCTAGTGTGCAAGGCGGTGGCTGGGCAGATGGAACAACATAACCCATAAAATTCTCTCCACAGCTAAATCCTCCGACGCAGACAAAACAGAGGACTCTGGTGAAAGGAGACAGAACAAGGATGCCACACACACTGGAATCAACGTGGTTCGAGCTTGCTGTGGGCTTGTTGACCAGGGGAATAGAAGAGTGCCAAGAATAATTTTGAAACGGCTCATTCGAACACCGCTCAGACGCAGCCTGGCTGGTTGAGGGTCCAGAAAAAAAACTCGGGCTCAAATTGTAATTGCAACATCTTTTCTCGAGTGACCCTGCATAGCCAATCTGTGGCTGAGTTGCAATTGAGTGAGCTGCTTTGAAATTCTTTATGAATGGCACTGCCAGCACTCCTCGTCCCACTGTGAACAGGACCATAGGTACAGCGAATTCCCGAAACACGTATTTAAAGCAACATGCCCCTTTTGGAGACCACAAGTCTTGCAGAGCGAGAGAAGATGGGCGCTGGATCGTGTCCTGTTGAGAAGATGGCGGCAGAGCCACTCCTGAATTCCCAGGAAGCCCAAGTGAAACGCAATGGAGAGACTCTTGTAGATGTCACTACACATGGCGGAGAGAGAAGCAAAAGTTCTCCTATAGGTATAGTTCCATCTTTAGGTGGTTTTTTCCCCTTTCCAAGTGTGATTCACATTAACACAGTGAGTGCCTTTAGTGGCTGGGGAAGGGTGGGTTCAGATTCCAGTTCTGCCACCATGTAGTGTGAGACCATAACAGAGACAAGCTTTAAGGAGTAACTAGTGAACACCCTAACTGGGAAGTTCCAACACTTATTAAGCTCCCTGCTGCAATACATCCTGGTCCTTTCTGGTAACTGTGGAGGACCAGGAACTCTATAACTAGGGCCCTACCAAATTCACAGCCCAGACCATGAAATCTGGTCTTGTGTGCTTTTATCCTCTACTATACAGATTTCACAGGGGAGGCTGGTGTTTCTGAAATTGGGGGTCCTGACCCAAAAGGGAGTTGCAGGGGGGGTCACAAGGTTATTTTAGGGGCGTCACAGTATTGCCACCCTTACTTCTGTGCAGTCTTCAGAGCTGGGTGGCTGTAGAGCAACAGCTGTTGGCTGGGTGCCCGGCTCTGAAGGCAGCACCCCGCCAGCAGCAGTGCAGAAGTAAGGGTGGCAATACCACAACCCCCCCCCTTTACAATAACCTTGTGACCTCCCCCACAACTCCTTTTTGGGTCAGGACCCCTACAATTACAACACTGTGAAATTTCAGATTTAAATAGCTGAAATCATGACATCGACCATTTTTAAAATCCCATGACTCAAATTGGTAGGGTCCTACCCATGAAGAACATCACTTTCCTTTCCATATTCTGTTCAAAAGTCTACGCAGGTGCTAAACGTGCTCCAGACACAACTTGCAAAGGGATATATCTTGGTCCCATCTCTGACTTCTATTCCTCCTGTGTTCCTGCTCAACGATCTCATGGTAGTGGCTGTTGTTTTCTGAGGTGCTCTGATATTTCTCAGAGGTTCCCTTCTCTTTCGGCCATTTATTTCAGCTGATTCTTTCCTTGATGATTCATTCACGTCCTCGACCGTTGTTTCCAAACTTTTCCAGGACTTCATGGTGGGAATGCGTTTGCCAGAGCCCTGTAAGCCAGAGAGTTCCTCTGGAAATATCCCAGGTCACAATGCTTAGTCTACTTATGCCTAGTGCTTGCTCTGCTCTGCACACTTGGGTTTTTTATAAGCTTTAGCTGATCTTGTTAATAGAAGTTTGATCCCTCGTAGTCTCAGATACAGCAGCCCTAGGAATATTACTATGCTAATGGGAGGAGGGGAGAGGGCCATATAAATACCAGGTAGTATAGATGGCTTTTTCTTTTCCAGGCTGTCTGTCAAGGATCAAGTCATGGGCACGTCCTTTCACAATTCTGAGTGTGGTTCTCAGTATCGTTCTCATCAGTCTCCTTATTGCGTGGTCAGGTGAGAAAATTGATTTACTTTCAGTGCTGAAAACTTCACAATCTCGTATTCCCCTGTAGTGCACAACCTTGGACAGTGCATCTACTCTACCGAGCGTTTGACTTTTCAGCAAGGCCTTTCCCCATCTCCATCGTTCCCACAGCTCAGCTCAGCTCCCCTTGGTTATTTACCCGCTGCTATGTGGCAGTGTGAGATTTGTTGCAAAACACCCACTCTGATGCTGCAGATGTGAGAAAATTCCAGAGGTGAACTACTCTAAGTGAGATTGGCATTTGCAGTGCAAATGTGGGTTATGGTTAATGTTCCAAAAGCAATGCTAATTAGTCCCCATTGCACATGACTAATAGCACAGCACTCGTGGATAGTAAATATTTGATACTGAAAATGCTTTCGAGTGTGGGTGTTAAGGCTGGTGCAGGAGACGCACACAGCCCAGTGTTGACAGGGTGGCTCCATTGAACCCCACAGCTATAATCCCTGGATGGGTGTTTGGGTCTGTGCACTTTGTAAAGGAACGTTTCTGCCCAGGGTTCCCTAACGTAAGGAGAAAATGTCACCTACAGCTTGTCCATTTGATTTCTCTCTCCTACAGCAGAGGGGAAGGGAAAAATCTCTGATCCTGTTATTTCCTCATCTCCAGTGAGAAAATCTGAACTGTGTCTGGCTGATCCTAAATCCCCAGAGGCCTCCTGCCCGGATGGCTGGGTCGGTTACCGAGGGAAATGCTACTATTTCTCAGAGACGGAAGGGAACTGGACCTACAGCCAGAGCCAGTGCTCTGCACTTAATGCCTCCCTGGCTGGGATCGACAGTGAGCAGGAAAAGGTGAGAGACTCAGACTCTGGGCAGTGTAGTTCAGAAGCAGGTGACAAAGGCGGCTTTGTGCCTGTTGTCCCCCCACCCCAAAATTCAAGGCTGCTCCAGTTGCTGACTTGGCCCCATGGGCTGCTCTGACTTATGGCAAACGTTTGCTTTAAAAGGTTTTCATGATACGCTACAAAGGGCTCCCTGACCACTGGATCAGCTTCTGGAGGGAACCTTACGGGATCTGGAAATGGGCCAATGGCACCGACCTCAACAATGGGTGAGTCCTTTCTAGCTGCTGGGGGCCGGGAGGAGGGCACAAAGCTAAAGGACAGATTTATAGTGCCCGCTTACAAAAAGGCCAGTTGTTGTTTTTCCATGTATGAAAAGAAGTCTGGCAAACTTTTGTCATTCTTTAGAGTTTGCCAAAAAAGGGCAAAGATTTGTTTGGGGAGGGGAAAAATTAAAGTCCCATGAAACTGTGGCATGAAAAGGCTTTGTGTGTGTGTGTGTGTGTGTGTGTGTGTGTGTGTT